TTAGTGCGTGCCATTCTCTTCGATATGTTTGGTGTAAACCAAATCTAATTGGTTTAAGCCTATTAAAGACAGAAAATCAACGACGAAGATTGAAGTGTTGAGATCCACAACGAGAATGATCGTGATTAGGCGGACAAAGTTTTTCTGCTGTCAGCTGTATGTGTGCGCCTCTCCCATGTTGAACAGTTGTTCGTTTTACGGTGAAGTAATTGATGCATTGCAACAAAAGTTGGAAATGCAGCGAATGGAACGGATATCCTAAACCAGAGATGTTATGCATATGCTAATAGCTCAAGGTGATGATCACAACAGGCACTTCTCATGTGATTGAACTTTCTCTCAGATTTTCAGTAGGAATCTCTAAGGCATGAATAGTAGTTTATCTCTGAATAGTTTATCTCTGAATCTCTAAGTAGTTTATCTCTGAATTCTTTTCTGCGAGATTACTTTATGGAACGACGCGTAGGATATACCCCTGAACTTAATGACAGTTTGACATTCTCCAGTTTTTGCAGTTATTTCTTGATAAAACATGAAGCTAATTAAGTGTTTTCTGTTTTTAGGTGCTTTCCTGCTTGGATATTTTGCATCCTCCAAGTGCCAGGCTGTTTGTAGAAATGTAAGTACTTTCGACGTACAGTATTTTCGCCAGCAATTTGTTTTTTGTAATTCTCTCAGCACTCCTTTCCAAAGCGGTTAAATCGTTGAAAGATTTTCGATTGAATGAATATTGAGTAAAAGGTGTTGCGTCTAGAATATTCAGATATACACGCTCTCATTGACCGCGAAATATAGTTCGATTCTATCGAATTGACGGCTGTTTCAGATGCTTCGTATGAACGTGGCATGAAGCGTGCTGACGTTTGGCTGATGGAAGAATCGATGACCGGCTGTACCGCTAACATCAGTGTCCATCAGGACTGAGCCATGTTGTACCGACCATTTCGCCGTTGCCTTTCGAGTCCACTTCAATGAGCTAAATTGGTGCAACCGTATCACAGTGTTGGCAAGAGGAGCTAACGCAGTTGTTATTTCCGGTCGACTGTATCGTCTTCGTTCAAGATTCAACGGAGTTTGAACAGAAGATGCTGCTGTTGCACAAAGAATCTCTTACCGTCTTACTGAAGAATAACCTCACCAAGACGAAACTGATGCGGAGTTGGGCCCTGTCTGTCAGAATAGCGAAGTAGTCGAAGAAATCACCAGCCATGTATACTTTGGCCGTCGTGTGGATGGCATGAACTTGTTGAAGGAGAAATCAGCCGAAAAAAGAAAGCAGCATGGACCAGTTTTTATCGAATTGATACATCATACTCGACCGCGAGCTGTCCATGTGGGCGAACGGAGAATTGTTCGATTGATCCGCCCCCCCCATCCCTCAAAGCATGATCTCCAGCGTTGAATGTTTGTTCTGATACTAAAACCTCAGAGAACAAACTAATGGTCACGCAATGAGCGAAACATTTTCGATGCCTTTCTCAAAGATCACGTTTCCAGCGCACAAATTCGGAAACCGAGTGCACGAATAGACGTGATGTTTGTTTTCTATGAAACCGCACGAAGGTAGGGTGACCACCGTAGGACTCGTCAAAACTGTGTTCGTAAACTGGGTTTCATTGAACAGCATACATCCGCGCAGTGGTCCGAAAGTTTGTCGTTACAGCTTGATGGTCAAATTTCTCGGCTAGCGTTGAAGGCGGAAAAGAGAAGACGGGCGGGGGGGG